TGCAAGTCTCATAGCTTTCTCGGTATATGATATCAGTATTGCCACAATGCTACCATATTATAAGTAGGAATACAAATGTAAAAGCAGAAGTCCATGTCAACATAAAGGTTGCGCTTTCTTTGAAAGATATTTGCTAATATACTGGTCACTAATTCGAATATATGTAGGCATATGCAGCTTAGCATAATGTGATGTATAATTTTTAGTCATTTGTTTATTATTTTTCTTTGGGTATTGCATTTCGTCATTACCAGTTTGATGTTTGATGTACTGGTTCAGGTGCTTCTTGGGGATGTTGGAGCTGGGAAGTCTAGTCTGGTGTTGCGCTTTGTAAAAGGACAATTCATTGAATTTCAGGTTTGTTCTATAACTTTCAAAGGAAGCCTTTTCTTTTTGGTCCAGACCATTACCGTTTTTTGTATGATACAGGAATCAACAATAGGTGCTGCCTTCTTCTCACAAACATTGGCTGTAAACGATGCAACTGTAAAATTTGAGATTTGGGATACAGCAGGTCAAGAGAGGTACCATAGTTTGGCGCCAATGTATTACAGAGGAGCTGCTGCTGCAATTATTGTGTATGATTTAACAAATCAAGTGAGTATTCTGAAAACCATTTTTTCCAGGTTTGAAAATTTTAGATTTCCATGAAATTTATTTCTTTGTCGATGTTGAATTTGCATTCATTCACTAGAATCAAGGTTCTAAAAGACGCTAGGTGCTAGTCGGGCGGCGGGCTGGGGCCTAGCGCCTAGGTGGGGTCTAGGTGGGCGCCTAGGCTGACTAGGCGGATTTAAGTAAATCTATTATATTTCGTGTAAATAAGTGTATGTTTATACTTAATAATTAAATAAGTGCTTATGAACTTAAAAAAATAAAAATATTTTGAATAAATAATTATAAATATGGATATATGTGTAAAGTTTAAGGGCTTTATATGTTAGTTTCATAATGTTTTTCAAACCCATTCAACAAGTGGGATGGTAGGTGGCACGTTGGTATTGGGCAACAATTAAAAATAGGTTTGTCACGTGGGATTGGCAGAGGAAGTTTCCCTTTGCATTGTCTTCTTCCTCGAAAAAAAACTGTGTTCCTCATTCTCCAGATTAAAAACAGAGACCCTGCGTCTTTCCTTTCTCAACCATGCTCAGACCTATTGAGCCTCCAGCACCTGCCTAAGCGCCCTAGTTGCTGCCTAGCACCCTTAGGCGCCCGCCCAGGCTCTTCAGGCGCCTGCTTATTGTCTTCTCCGATTTTCCTCCCGATTGGGACTGAATCGGGGAGGATGACCACGGTGTAGCGCCTAGGCCGATTTTTAGAACATTGACTAGAATTAAAGCTTTTTAGTCATCCCTAGTTGAACGTTGTTTCTATTGGATATCTTATCATTTATTGCTTTTGTGTCTCATTTTTTCGCTAATGTGATATATTAAGTCAAATACATCTTAAATAGAAATTTAACTTTACTTTTCTTGTAGGCCTCATTTGAGCGAGCAAAAAAATGGGTCCTCGAACTCAAGTCACAAGGTATTTTTTATCACTTTATTGTACCCTGCAGACATTCCTCTATTTAATTGATGGGGCATGGAAACTTATGTATGCTAAGTTTTGGTACTGGCTTCTTTAGTTTTCCCATTATGACATTAATTTTTAATAATTTTATTTTTTTCTCACATGACAAGGTAACCCAAACATGGTTATGGCACTAGCTGGTAATAAAGCGGATCTGGTGGAGGCCAGGAAAGTGGCCGCAGAGGTAAGTCATTACTTTCTGCTTTCTTTTGTTCTGCTTACTGGTTGAACTTTTATGTCACTAGATATTTTTCCTGTCCAAACCCCTTATTCTTGAAAAGTAACAGCTTTCCAGATGAATGGAATTTAAAATTTTGAAGAATGTTATGAATATATTTTGGGAATCATTCGCTCTTCTTGTATAAAGTATGCTTATATATTAGTGTTGGACAACATTATTACAGTTTCATTCTTATAGTAATATCCTCCAGTTCTCCATTCTGCACGTATTATATGACATGGGTAACTGCAAGCTGTCTTTTTCTCTGCCCCTTTTCATCTTTCCAATGTTGATATTTAGTTTTGAAGTTTGAAGCAACTAAGCATATTTCCCTACGCTTGTGGACTGTAGTTCATGTACTCCAGGTTGTATATCTCAATTTGTGGTACTGCACTTTTCTGAAACTAGTGTTTCGGAAGTATGAAAATATGTGTGAAAAAGATTTAAATAATGTGAAATTAAAATTTATATTTGTTTCCTTGAAGAGGTTACTTTGAAAGAATGGACAAACAAAAGGAACTGTATAATAATGTACGATTTTTAGTGGAGCTTGCTTGACTAGAATCTATTTGTTATAACTTATATGTATATTCATTCTGAGTGCTGCTCGTATTTGCTGCTGCTGTTGTAGGATGCACAATCATATGCTCAAGAGAATGGTCTTTTCTTCCTGGAAACCTCTGCAAAAACTGCAGACAATGTCAATGACATTTTCTATGAGATAGGTACTTTTATAAGGTCTTTATAGGAGCAATAGCATCTACCCATTTCAGCGCAATGAATTAACCGTTAAAAAATGGATTTACGCATGTCTTTTTGCTTATTTGGTTTTTGTTATAATGTAATTTAGTGATCTGATTGCGGTTTTCTTCTGTTTTGGGGTACAGCAAAGAGATTACCTCGAGTGCAGCCTGTGCAGAACCCCGCAGGAATGGTTCTTGTGGACAGACCTTCTGAAAGGGTGGCAAGCTCGTCTTGTTGCTCATAGAACCTTCTGTGGTGCTTTCGGTCACTGCCTGCTCGGTATTTCCACAATAGCTCGCGTAACTCACGGTGGAAACATGATATATCAGCTGTTCGCTTGAATGTGTACATTGAATTCAGATTTGTATATGCATGTTTGTTTAGATATGGAGATTGTGATTGTCTGTTCGTGTAATGAAATGGTTTGGCATGAAAACACTCTCGGGTGTTTGGTAGTAACTAATAAGAATTCTTCTTCTTTAATTAGAACTGAACATGATTTTAGCGGGAACTATGAAGTCGGTCCTTGTTGCCCAGTTTTCAGCAGCCACACACAAAGTATATATATTTGCATCATTTTACAGTTCAGCTTAGTAAGAAAAATAGGGATGTTTGAAAATCGAAAATGCTGTGGTTAGCAATTGTCGGATTCACTTGGGCATGTTTGTTGGTGCTTAGTAGCATTATATTAGTTGGGTTCGAAAACTCGTCCGAACTTTCATGAAAATGTCTAGAGCTAAGTTTATTTTAATAAAAAAATCATGCTATAACTTTATTCAATTAAAAAGACAAATTTTTATTAAAAAAAAACTAATAAACCGGATAAAAGAACTTAAATTTTAATAAAAAATGCATAATTTTAATATCAGAAAAAAAATAAAAAAATAAAATTGACGTGTTTTCTCACACAAACTGGTTATGAAACTTAACGGTACTACATTCTTCTCTCTCCCCGTGAATTTTCTTGACACATTCTCACATTCCAAACACATTTTCTTCTAATTTTGTTCGATAATCATCAAATTTTCTATGTATCTCTTCAATTTCTTAACTTTCTTCACCAATTACTTAATTTTCTTTTATTGTCCACCCATTTGTGGCTTCCTCTTCTCCTCCACCTACAATCTCACCTTCTTCCTCTGCAAAATAAAAAAATAATGCAAACGAAATCAATAAAATCAAATACACCCATGGATATGAGCCCATATCGTACCCCCGCTTCATGTCCTTCAATTTCAGAAGCATCTCAAGTCTTCAATCATTTCAATATCTGTGTGGACTTAAAAATCTTGAATTTTGTTTACCTTACAATTTCCAAAGCAACTCACGACGCCGATGGTTTCGTGGATGGAAATTGCTGGGAACATCGCAGTCGTCTCAATGGTGCATCATTTAAATTAAAATTGTAGGTATAAAAGGTAGTGGCTTGGTAAATAAAGTTGCACAAGGTATTCTTCAGTGCTTCATATGTCCATAATATATAATATGTATTAGGGTGTGTGTGTGTGTGTGTATAGTACAAATATATAAAGGTGTGTGCTGTAAAATAGATATTGGAGCAATAATGATTGGAGTTGCTTCGGCAAGGCAATTTTTGGAGCCCAGTGGATGGGTACTGGAAAAAGAAGCAGTCAAAAGATGCAAGCAAAGGAGATTGCACGCACGTTTGAGAAGTTTTTTTTTTTCTTCTCTTGTCCTTATCATTAAGCTGACCCCACTTAGTGGGAAAAGACTTTGTTGTTGTTGTTGTCCTTATCATTAAAAAATTATTTAATGATTTTTGGTTAAAATTCAAAGTTTTGAATCTCTTTTCATTAGTTTTCATTTGAAAAAAAACATCTCCTTCAAGCTGTATCAGTACATCTTACCTATTGGTGTTTTGTTGGTGCTGTCCTGATAAGCGGCTTATTATAAGCCTATCTGCGGCAGAAAGCACTTTTGTTTTTCAACACGAAGATCCGACTCTTAGCACATACATACTTGCAGGCCTAACAGTCTAATCACATACCCTCCTACTACCTATCGTGCATGTTCAATGCTCTATTCTGTTCGTTTCGTATCGTTAGCTCGCAACTCTCAGTTGTTACCAATCGCCATAGGGAAGTGATTCCCGCATGCTCCTTTTCTCACTCTGTTTCTGACATTTTAAATTGAATAAACAAAAGGAGAATAAAGATAAGTAAACAATTGGTTCACAGAGAATATTGCTAATTAAGTTACTCCACTGCAAATGGTTCCATCTTCACCAAGCAACTGGAATATAACCAGCTCATCATTTTAACACAATGATATTTGGCCAAGAACAAAAAGCGAATTAAATTTATTGAAACAAAAATAAACTAGCTAAATACATTATGCAAAATTTCAAACTGCCGATGCCGAAGCCTCGTTATTTTGTCTGCTGAAATGCACAACTTTAAAACAGCAAGAACGACCGTATCATCAAAACTTGGGAGGGAGTTACTTAGTTTCTGTGAAGTCCTTGAGAGGCTGCAGCTGAAGCACAATCCATTGCCTGAAACCCAATTCTCTCTTTCGCCAAGTCATACACAACCTCCACATTTTGCTGCTGGAAGCTACCGAAAACCCCGGCTGGCCCGTAATCTCCATCATCCATTGTTTGGAACAACAAGCATTTCACCACACTCGAGTTTACTGGAGCTCCCATGGCATAGAAGTGATTTCCTTGGGGCAAAGCAAGACTCACATTATTCAAGAAGTGGAAAGTTATTGGAGGAAATTGTAGGTCATCCTGATTTGTGATAGTATTATTCATTGTGTATGGGACTAAATAACAAAGATCAAAAGAGGTCTTTGTCTCCATTTCCTTGGCTCTAGGATACGAAATCACCGACTCGAGAACGGAGAGAAGATTGGAGTATAATGGCTCAGGAAAATGAGTGTAAGTGGTTCCTGAGTCAATCAGCAAACCCCCATTTCCTTGTGAATCAAATTCTCTCAAGCTTGAGGGCACTTGTGTTACTGCACTGGCATTACCTATTGTGATGGCCTCTATACCAATGTAGTAGTTGTTAGGGTACATGGGACTCTTCAACATTGGAGTGAATTGCAAGTTTTCTTTGGAAGAAATAGCAACATCTCCTACAACTAGTGGACTTGAAACATTAGGGTTGTTTGCATACTTGAAAGCCAAGAAGCAATGAGAGAAGCCCTTATGTAGAAACCCTAACTGGGATGGGAGGGAAAGCGCTCCCCTACCAAACCCTGCAATCCCAATAGGCTCTCTATAGGTAGACCCGATGCACCCAAAACAAAACTTGGGAATTTCCATAGTGACAATATTGTTGGGGGTAGTACTAATTCCATGAACCCTTAGTGTGTCTCTACTAAGTGTCCCTTGGACAACCCCACCTGCGCCATAAGTGTAAGCAAATGAAGGGCATGGTCTAGGACATGTGTCCCTAAGAAGGGTAGCAAGCGAGCATCCAACAATGGTGCATGGATCGATAGAGTTATCTGAGCTATGGATGTCAATGCAAAAGGAGCTACCACAAAGGTCTCTAAGAGACGAAGAAGAAGCTGAAGGGGAGAAAGTGGGCATTAGGTTGTTGTTCCTATAGTCATCACAATCTATGCAAACAAAAGAAAGATTGCCACAAGGAACCCATGTTAGGTCACTCCCAGTATCCATATATACTTGAGTGACTTGTGGGGGTGTCCCTAAACTAAGAGATATCAAATACCCATCTCTCACTTCCCTCAATGGCTCTACCATGTCTGACACTTGTGATGGCATCTTTTTCGAGTAAGAAGATGCTTTCGGGCTTGGAAGGGAAACCTGAGAATGTGTTAGTCCAAGCACCAGGGAAGTAGAACTGGAGCTATGGCTGGCTAGGGTTTGGTTGAAATTGAAGAATGTTGCAACGGTTAGAAGGAAAAGGAAGGTAGTGGTGAGGGGTGTTGCCATTTGGGATCAAAAGATTAGGTATAGAGACAAGTGAATCCTTCTCATATGTAGTACCTATTTATAGAGGTCATTAATTCAATGAATTAAAAGGTAGACTAATTATCTGAGCTGCATTAGGGTTTTCTCATATGGAGTAACAGATGTTTATCATCCAGAGGTTCTGAATTAAAATTGCGAGTGTGTGTGCGCTACACGTACGCACGCACATGAAGGGATGTATAGCATCCGTGCATGCTCAGATATAACACACACACAAACAGAGACCAGAAATCATAAAAAGGCTGTGCATGCTTTATTGTATATTATACACAGTTTTTGGTCGACTAAGCAAATTCGAACACCCGATGAGAAGTTGGATTAAAATTTCATGCGTTGTAATTTCTTTGCTGTTGCCAAAATGTGAAATTTTATTAAGAATAATTAGCAAGTTCATGCATCATAAACTCCTAGATACATAATGGAACTCACGAATCACGATCATGCCCTGCAAATCTGCTAAGCTTCAAAAACTGCGAGTTTTATGGGTCATATTAACATTATCGAAAACAAAAAAAGAACATAGAATTTGGCTCTCGGCTGGAGATGACGCAACGTCCTCAAACCACAGGATAATACTGACGAGGACCGATCCGTTCTTGCTTGCCATTCCATAAACTCACATGGGTTTTACTACCATTTCAGGAAGATTACTCGTGTTAGTATACCCCCTAATAAAAATTGTATCTGTACATGCTTAGAACATAATACATGCCACTAAACCCTAAACCCTAGCTGTACCTGTACTTTGCTGCATAGTTTACATGCTTAGAACATAATTTACATGCCACTAAACCCTAAACCCTAGCTGTCGCTGTACTTTTAATGCATACTTTAACGGATTCAGAATGTACTTTCAAATGTTAATAAAATACGATATTGGAAGATGGCACCTGGCCATCTTTTCTGCAATTAAGTTTGCTGATATCGGCTGCTGGTCGAATGCACCTTAACTAAGCTTGCACTTTTGAATTGTTTTTTGCATGATATATGGTTCTATCTAACTTTTCGTTTATTAGTTATAAAAGTAACGCATTATATTATCAGCCTTGAAAAGTATTTTGTCACAATAGCTTTTCCCCAACTAATTCAGTTATGATTTGCACTATGCGGCTACCCTACTCACTCAACACTTTTGATACCTACGTTTGGTGAACCAGATTTTATTGAGAATATTAATTAGTGTGTGTGTATAAATACATTTGTTTATTTTTTGTCATATCATATACACACATCCAGCCTTGAGAACTACATCAAATATCATTAAAAATTAATATCAAAAGAAGAAATATTACAAACATTATTTAAATATTACACGTCTCGCACTTTTAAACAAAATATAATAATTAAGTTTACATTATCTAATTTTTCAACTAATTTTTTTCCAGTATAAAATAGTTAATCCATTTAATCTTTCTTGTGATATAATCAGTGTTTAAAATATCGGTACAGGTGAAAATATTGATATCGATATCGGTTGCTATCGATGGAAATAATGGAAATTTATAATGAAATTTTTGGGATTGTCAAACATTGATTTGGACAAAATATAAGAGTTTCTCCAATATTTAATAGATGTATAAGAAATATCGACAATATATGTCAATTTTAGCCTAAACTTAAAAGTTTCTTTGATATAAGGTGAAGTTCAGACTTTTTCCCCAATTCCATACCTTTCTATGATTTTTGGATATTTCCATGGAAATATCGACTATATCGAAGAAATTTTAAACCCTGGATATAATTGACCGAAGATAAGATTTGATCAAATTTAATTTTGAAAAATTCTTTTTGCAGAGGCAGCTGTACTTGGTATGGTTAACATAAAGACTAAAAGTCTATAAACTTCTTATTTGAACAAACACAAAGTTTATAATATCAAAAAATGGGGATTAGTTGTGGGACCCATTCCATATCGAACTTCAACAATTCGAGCCGTCAATTTTGTAAGTCTCGATTCATAGATGATCTATGAAAAAATTCAATTCAATTCGAAACCATTTACCCATTTTGTTGTCACGATGAAATTTTAATGTTTCTTATAACACGGTGTTCGTAAATTTCTTTGAACTCAATTAGATGCCTCAAATATTTACAATTTGGCAAATATTTGCAAGGATGATCTATGTGGTGCAACTTGAAAAATAGACCGTTCGGATCGTTAAAGTTCAATGTGATGTGAGCCCCATAAAGAATATATATATATATATATATATATATATATATATATATATATGTTTTCGTTTCAATGATTTCTATCTTCCACTTGTTCCATGTAAACGGTCGTTACTTGCTAATTTGTTATGCATCCAGTGCTCCCTCGAGGCTGATTGTGCCTTTCGGCAAGGGTTTCTATCTTCCACTTGTTCCATGTAAATTCTTTGAACTCAATTAGATGCCTCAAATATTTACAATTTGGCAAATATTTGCAAGGATGATCTATGTGGTGCAACTTGAAAAATAGACCGTTCGGATCGTTGAAGTTCAATGTGATGTGAGCTCCATAAAGAATATATATATATATATATATATATATATATATATATATATATATATATATATATATATATATGTTTTCGTTTCAATGATTTCTATCTTCCACTTGTTCCATGTAAACGGTAGTTACTTGCTAATTTGTTATGCATCCAGTGCTCCCTCGAGGCTGATTGTGCCTTTCGGCAAGGGTTTCTATCTTCCACTTGTTCCATGTAAACGGTTGTTACTTGCTAATTTGTTATGCATCCAGTCCTCCCTCGAGGTTGATTGCGCCTTTCGGCAAGGGAAGTTGAGTTTATAAACAATCATATCCAACGGATTTTGATAATTTAATGGTCGAATTATAGACAATTAATATCATCAACAACATATCTACATTTAAAAAAATTGTAATTAAATCGTACCCAACAAAAAAAAATGGTTAAACAAAATGAGTTGAGTTGAGATATATTTTACTTGAGCACTAGAAATTCTAGAAATTAGATAACACGAGCCCCGACTGATCGATACCTAATAGCTATTCTATTTTATATGGTGGGGTAAAAAGTACATGGATGCTTTTGCAATCCGTCGCAGGTGCAGTACTAGGTTGATCCTCAAGATTTTTCCTACTTTTGTCTTCAATGCGACGTAAATCACCAAATGATGCCAAATCACAAATAAATAAGAACACACTTCCAATTTTTCCTTTCGGACTCTCTGTTTGTTTTGTCGCTTAATTCTTATTTGATTTATTCAATCTTACGAGTCAAGGTCTAAAATATCGATAATATCGGAAATATCGGTAGTCCAAAAACACGAAAATTTCGATGGAAATATCAAGATATTATCGATATCGATAAAAATTGAATAAAAACTACGGAAATTGTAAGAAAAACTTGGAAATTTTTATTGAAACTTTGCAGGATGTTTATTTAGTCAATTATCTATTAGTTTATCAGAAAAATTTGGAAGGAAATGCATTGCATGATGGATTTAACTGATTTAAGTTGTTTATATAGCGAGCTGGCAAACATTGTGAGTGTAGAAAATATGTAGTAATTAATGAAAGAAGTTTAAACACACCATAATCATTTATATATAATGAATTAGTACAATATTTTACACTTTATACATTGTATGGTAAGATACATGAGTGACTTAGTACCACATAGAGTTCCTATCAAGGTCTAAAATATCGATGATATCGGAAATATCGGTAGTCCAAAAACACGAAAATTTTGATGAAAATATCGAGATAATATCGATATTTTAGATCTTACTTACTACTTAAAAAAAGGACAAGCTATGTGGAAATTACTTTGCACATGTCACAGTTTTTCCTCTTACATGATGCACATGTCACGGTTTGACACACACCCACTAACTTTTCCCTCTTTGCATTAGTTTTTAATTCCACTAATATGAGGAAATTTTTCAAAGTGCCAGAATGCTGCCCAGTACGGAATTGTCATAATACAATTATTTAGAATTGTTTTTTGTCTTTTTTTTAGCACCCAATCATTTGTATTATGACACTTGTTATACCAGACCGTGTTTCCAATACACTGAAAATCTCCCCTAATATAGATTTGCACATCTGAACTAGTGGGTAGAAATCTCTGCACATCCGTAATAAGCTAAGCATTGTTGCAAAACTAGTTAAAACATTAAAGAGGATGCTGAAACAACGCGTGCAACTTTGAACCATTTAACCATCGTGACATAATCGATTCCCCTCGTAACTTAACAACAAACTTGGAATCATCTACAACAACTTTGGCCTCCAAAATGACTCCAGTTTTGATTGCTTTTTAACCCTCCTCTGGGCCTCTATCATTTATACAGCAACAATATAGAAGAATGCACAAGATCAGATCCATCTTAAAACGGAAGCCTTTCGACTCATTTCAAACATACATATATACATATACATACATATACATATACGTATACATATATACATATATGTATGGATATCCATCATTGCATCTTGGCCAATTGCTTCATCAATCCCTTGATAATCTTTCCAAACCACATCAAATTCATTACCGCTAGCACTGTTGGCACGATAAAGACCAAAAGATATCCGAAGATGTGCATCTGGATGATCTGCAATCCAATTAAAATGATTAACTACTTGCAACAAATGACACTCCAAAATCTGAAAAGACGATTCATACAAATTTCACAAAGATTGCTTTTAAGGGAACACGTAAAGGATGTTTTGGTCCCTTTTCATTTCTTCTTTTTTTCGTTTAAAGAAGTACGACCTGAGAAATGTAGACTCTTCTAGAATGCTTAAAAAATGTAAAATATTGCACTCCATACGCAAGATTCAAGACTTCATCCTGTTCCCCAAGAAAAGCACACCAAAAGAGGACGGTGTTGAAAATGCAAAGATCCAAACTTTTTACCCTTTCTCAGAGAACTATCCAAAGAAGGTAAAATGTATAACTCAACTTTGGAAGACAGTGAAAGTATACAGCAAGCAAAATCCAAAGTGTAGGTGGTACATTTCTTCATGGAGTTGCAATCTTACCATATCATAGTGCAAGTAAACATGGTAAAACATGTAACCGAACAGCAGAATTCTTGCCGCCTGCATACCGTAAAGTCCTTCAGAAAGCATGTCTAACAATGACAGTTATGTAACCGGAGGACAAGAAGATATTAGCTCATGATGCTGCTTACATCAAGACAAGTGGCTACGAAATGACAGTTTATATTATGGATAGTGCTATTCACACAAACACCTCTCACACCCTTGTTAATTTTTTTCCATTGATCTTCTTCAATTCATTCAATCCGACTGTCGAAAATTGAGAGGGATGTGTGAGAAGTAAAAATGGGTGTGTGGATAGCACTACCCAATATTATAAGTGAAAGTATCAGGGAAGTGTTGTTGCAACTGAATTCTCTCTATTATATGATAGCCCCCCCCCCACCACCTTTAATGATCAAAAGATAATAATACAAAAGGACTTCAACTGACCAGCCATAATAAAAATATCACAATGCCGTTTAGGAGATATGCGCTGGACCTCTTCAGACCAGCTGTATCAAGATACCTTCATGAAACCGAAAGCTTATATTAAAGATGGAAAACCATAAACTAAACATAATCTTGTGTGTATAAACTTACCATCTCATATTGATCTCTGGCGTAGTGATCTCAGAGATGAGGATCATGTATGTATAAAGTTGCCCTTCCCCAGAAAACATGGAGTATGCTACTGCAATTCCAGACAGTGAGTGATGGAAAACCTGAAATTGAATCCCACCATATCAAGAGTTATACAGCTGCAAACGTGTGGTGAACGTTACTCATTTCTAATAAAAGATTTGTGTATAAGCCGACTAGTGTTTGTTTATTATTATATGCCGACTAGTGTTTGTTTATTATTATATACATTCTTTTGGAAAGAAATAAAATTTATTTTTCCACCAAAAAGTCCACCAACAAAAGTAAAACCATTAAACTCTAACAACACCTCTGCCAAGTGCCAACCACTACAAAGATAAGAAGAACGTATATCGAATTTCAACTACAGCCACCTCTGCAATTATAAGAGAAAAATGAAAATGAAAAGCCCTAAATTCCAATGAAACTGATCCAATAGAAAATGCCAAAGTCTAATCAAAAGTGACTAACTTAATTTATATGCAAATGTGGTTTCTTTTTCCGTTCACTTAACCTCTTCTTCTCTACTTTCTAGATACCTGTCTGTGCAATTAAGCAATCACCTTAATGGGATTATTATAACCTTGGTAAATGATACTTCTGACCCATATGTCAAGACGGTTAGAGCAAACCAATAAATTATATATGAATTGTCTTCCATATAGAAGTTACTTACATACTCGATTCCACCTAAAGAAGGATATAGCCATAAAAGCATTCCCAGATCCGCACAGAAGTACCCAACAGAGACCTGTGATATATGATCTTAATTATGTCCCACAGAAAAATGTCAGGAGATACAAACAAAAGAAAGTGCATATAGATGAAACAACCCAACAAAATATAAAGTCCAGATCACTCGTCAATCTGTGATAAATTGGCTCATGTGTTAATTTCTAACTGCTAGGCTAGGCCTGGTCGGATGATAATGAAGCAAATAAGATAATGTTGGGATCTGTTCATCACTTCCTATGAGCTTAAGGTCAAATTGAAACCAACAATGATATTTACACTTGAACAATATACATGTAAAATACTTTGACAATAATTGAGTGGCTAATAATTCATAATAAAATTAATAATTGAAGGCACATACCCCTAACCCAAAAACAGACAGTGGTGAGCTTCGAAATGTAATAAGGCCAAGGTGCTGTTGGTCAGAAAAGAGATCGGACCCGAACACAAAGTACAAGGACAGAGCTGTGATAAAAATGGCATGAATACTGGAGATACCACTGCAAAAGTTAACTTTTCAAATTAATAAATTTACAAGTAGTGTTCCAGAAGGGAAGTATATTACAGTTGGAAAGTGGGTGTCCTCACCGACTGTTCCACTCAATTCGTTGGATTTTTGTAAGACTACCATAAGCCTTAATGTAAAAGGTACTAATTAATTGGGTAAGATCATAGACCTGCAATATTTAACGAGTTAATAAGAAAATAGAAAACCAAATCTACAGCTTGAATGAGGCACCCTATAGCACATCTTTACTAAGAGCATACCATTTTGCACAAAATTATGCCTCCAATAATGGAAGTGTATGGTATGAAGGGATCCGCTAGCAAGTAGTTTTTAACAAGAACGCCGGCCTGATTTTGGTAAGATTTGATCGCCATAACCGATTTTGTAGACATTTCCATTGCAATATGCTAGATTACTAGTTCTTATTTCCCTTCTTTCCTTTCTCGTACTAGCTTCCCCACTTCATTTTCCTGTTTAATCTTTCCATTAGCATACTCAAAGAGCAAGGAAGCTACCAGGATAGTAATTTATAATCACAAAATATGCACGTCTTTATCAGTATCTTTTTCCTTTGGCTACTGCCGTGAGCATCTGAGGATGACATTTAACCAGAGTAGCTTATATTAGCAGATGGGTAAACCGTAAGCAATGTGATAGCTTAAGTGTACAAACATAATCCACAAACAACCTACACAGCCCAACGACAAGAAATAGCCGCACAAAAGCATCTTTATTTGTTGAAACCAACTTAAATAGATTTGGGCAACAAAAACCTTCGTTTAAAAACAACAAACGCAAAGGCTAAAACCAGAATCACAAAATAGAATTAGAAGCAGATGAGATCCAAGTAACACCTAGAAGGAAAAAAAAAGAGACTAAGCAACTCCCAAACTCCAGTTTAGGACTTTCCAAATACAAATGCATGAATCTACACTAAAAAAACTTGCTGACAGGATTAGATAGTGTAGTCATACATTGGTCAAGCACCAAGACCCAAGATTTGATCTCATGACTGGCCACAAACAGTTTCTTCATTCCAAAAACAAATGACTCAACCACAGAAACCAGGTGGGCATTTGAATAGAAGTCAATGTAAAATGCAGGTACTCCATCAATACTTTTATACGATTACAGAACAATATCAATACAAGCTAATGCAGGAGATCTAAAAACACCATTAGAAAGAAAGAAAAAGACAAAATCAAGCAGTACCAGAAGATACCAGAAAATGAAATCAAAAGGGAAAAACAAACTCGGATCCAGAGGCAACCACAAACACATGAGAAATCAAATGGGGTATTCAAAATCAAAACCCACCTCCACATGAGATCAGAAACCATAATATAACCAAAAGCAGATGAAATGTCAAACAAAACCCAGAAAGCTAAAACAGAGGATTAAAGCTAAGAAGCTCAGAAATCAGAGGGAGGAGGTCTCACCATGAGCATGAAGTCACAAAAGTTAACAGCCAAAAACCCCTCCAAATCAGATGGGCATTTGGGGAAACACAGGAACCCAGAAACTAATCAATGCCAAAATCCACAAATCACAAGGAAAGTCGAAAACTTGAGGCGCGGATGCAGATGGGTAATCGAGAAAACAAATGGGTTTGAAGAATTTGTGACCGGCAATGGAGAAATGCGAACGCTTGGAATATCCAACCGAACATGTAAATCGGAAGGAGGAAAAGGGGAAGAGAAGAGTTGAAATCAATGAAAAATGTTAGTGCTTGGAATATCCAACCGAACATGTAATAATAAAATAAAGAAGAGGGGTTATTAGTTAAATAATAAGGGAAGGAACTTGGAAAATGATAAGGGAATTCTTGGGTGGATTTGGATTTTCTTGTTATCCAAATGGGATACGGAAGTGAGAAATGAAAATATCACTGATTTGAACGTACTTTTAAATTGATTGAATGTATATTTAGTAAAAATATTTTCGAAATCAATCTTTAATAAAAATTTAAGTAAATTATGAAAAAATAATTTGCTTTTTAAAATGCTTTTGGAACCCAAAATTAATTTTCCCAAAAGTATTTTTGATCTTTTAAAAACACTTTCAAATGAGTTTATAATGTGTTTGGCCCATGAGCTATTTGGATTCTAGAGTTTGTTTTTATTAGCATTTATGCTAATGTTTGGATCTGTTTATTAACATAAAAGATAATCGAATTCAGAACTATTTCAAATAATAATAAAAAAAAAATACCAGTAAATTATAACAAATTAGTCTAATATTTTGAAATTTAGAGTTTGTTTGGATAAGTGCATGATATTTACAAAAGACAAAAACATTATTTTTTGTTCGTATGTAGTGGACTTTTGTGGTGGCATATCAAGTGAAGATATTTACTTGATTATTTTCTAAGTTATGTTACCCATATTTTTTGTTCATTTTAATCTTAGGTTGTATATTAACAATGTTAATTTATTATCTTATGTTATTGGTGCTGCTACAGTTCTTAATATTCCATCAACCCCATCCTACCCCAATTATTATGGTTGTTACATCATTTATCATATTGCTTTGCTATATTACCTATCATGACTACTTCCTGATTTGACAAAAAAAAAAAAAAAAACATGATTTCTTCTTGCAATAGGAGAGATTTTTCATTCTGTTCGGAACACAATATGGAATACCACATGTTATTGTATAATTGGAGGAAAGGGTTTTTTTTTTAAGTGTCCCTATAATTGTATAATGCCATACGGTGGATGTACATTGGGGTCAAGGTGGTCCCATGATCATTCGAAGTTAGGAAAATATACATGTAAAGGTCTTCCGATGACTCTTCGAAAGTTAGGTATGACTCTCTTTTGTGCCCACAAGTTTTGATGTAATGCCCATTAAGCATATGCCGCATATCTTGTCAAAACCTCGATATGTTGCGTCGAGAGCACTTGACAAATTCTATCGATAACACTCATCAGATTGCTTCGACGTATGTCGATATCTATTGACATATACGCAACATGGTTTGGCTGATGACAACAAGCCACTGCATGTTTGATGAAATATCTTAGGAAATAAACTGACTTTTTTTTATTTGCGCACTTTGACTATGTTTCTATTAAAAAACTTATTATTTAACACTAGAACCCTCAATGTTTGAATTTTGGATTGCCATTGGATAGGACCAAATAAGATGGTAATCATTACTATAAGTGGACCTTAATCAAGATTATACTATGTTATAAAGGAGATAATCCATGGTTGGGTACTTAGCCGGTTGAGGGCATGCTGCTACATCATGCATGGGGCAGCAGCAGATAGCAGTTTTAAGTAAAACTTGTCTTTTGGTTCAAGTTTCCACTTTTTCAACTTTTTTGTTGCCCTGTGAGCTCCTTTTTCTTTGTAAATTTGGATTCATAACTGAAAGAAAAGAGGATGAGTAATTGCCGTGGTGGGATTTGGGTTTGGTGTTTTTGGCGTGTAAATGTGACTCATAAGGGTTGTTGCAGCGGAGTAAGATTTTCTCCCCTATTTTTTCTCATCCCCTTCTATTTGAACGGTCACGGTTTATCACGTCAACATCTTATATTAATTTTTTATAGCAAGAGAAAGATAAAATAAGAGAATGTGAGAGAAGAGAATGAAAATGGATGAAAAGATAACGTGAGAGAATCCGAATGAAAAGGGATGAAAAGAAAATGTGAGAGAACCTAGTCCTGTTGCGGCGTCACTACATCAGAAAGGGTGCGGGGTGCGGACTTATTTTCTTCATTTATTGTTTAGGGTTACATCGGAGTCGAATCCTAAACTAGCCTACTCTAGGTGCCATACTCACCCAACAAGCTTGTCGATGTTGATTGATGCATTTGTTATCCATGCGATTAATATGCACTTGATAACATGAAGCTTCGTGATCAGCTTCCATCAAATGGCAGTGATGATGTTGATGATAATTAATTCTCCTGAGGAGAGCAGAAATTGATCATCAGATGGTTACAGAAACTCAACTTTAGATCTGATCTTGTCAAATAGAACATAAAACACTTAGTTATGGAGATAGAGGATAATTAAGTATAGTAATTTAGAGTGGCGGAACCAACTTTTGAACATGAGATGAGCGTCCTTTTTTATTAACAAGATGAACAAATGTAATTTTTTTTCTCTTTAAAAATGAATCAGTGGGTGACTTCGTAACCGTCCATCATGTCGGAGGCTGTGAAGACTTATAAAGTCATTTCAGACTATCTCTGATAAAAAATACAGGTTTTGAATTAATCTCCAACCGCTAAGTCACTCGTGGTGTTGAATAAGTGTAAATTGAGTATTATAGTCCTTGAACACCAGAATTACAAAATAAATAAATAAATAAGAAGATTTGAAAAAATAAAGAAAAATAAGAGGCGGCTAAAACCCCCAAATTCTAGGGTTTATGATAATGGCAGAAACAGAGGGGCGCACACTCCATCTTCGCTTCTCTGGAAAACCCAGACAGGATATAATGAAAGGAACAATAGGGACTTAAATCCCGAGAGGATTCATCCAATCCAAGGTAACCTCTCCTCTCAATTGTCTCCATCTCTTTCAATCTTCACACTCTGCAACTTCCAGTTTTCAACTATTATTGCAAAAATGTGATTCACCCACAAAATTCTCTCTCTCTCTCTCTCTCTCTCTCTCTCTGTTGTATGCCTCCTTCGCCACTTTCTATGTTAATGAATAGAATCCACAAAAGGGTATCGAAAATGATTGCCCAACTCAAACACCATGTACCCCTCTCTCCTTTGGTTCATGAAACAACCACTTCTGCGCAAAACCCGTCTTTCGTTTGGGTTAAAAATCGATGCTTTGGGAGTTCTAGGATTGCCCATTTGGCAAGGGTCTCAGTCATGGAGTCCACGCAATCTGATTCTCCAGTTTTGAATCGGGTTTCTCGAAATGCTAGAACCGTGGCTCAGGAAGCCCTTTTCGACTACCTGCATTCTACTCGAAGCTTCAGCTTCATGGATGCCGAGCATATTAGCAAGAACTCCCCAATTTTTCTTCAGAATTTGCTCTCCAAGATAGACTCCGAGAAAGATGTTGCCCGTTCTTTAACCCGGTTTTTACGCTACAATCCCGTTAATGAGTTTGAACCCTTCTTTGAGAGCTTGGGTTTGAGCCCTTCTGAGCTGCAATCGCTGCTACCGCGGCACTTGATGTTTCTGAGTGATGATCATGTTATGGTTGATAATGTTCATGCTTTATGCAATTACGGAATCCCCCGTGGTAACATTGGTAAAATGTACAGGGAGGCAAGAGAGATATTTGGATATGACTATCGAGTGTTGGCTTCAAAGCTTCAAGCTTATGAAAATTTGGGGTTAAGCATACCAACAGTTATTAAGCTTGTTAGTTGTTGCCCCTTGCTTTTGGTTGGCGGTGTTCATAGAGACTTTGTCAAGGTTCACGAAAAAATGAAGGATATAGGCCTCGGAATGGATTGGATTGGAAGGTATGCATCACATAACAGTACGTACAACTGGAACAGAATGCTTGATACAATGGATTTTCTGGATAGTGTGGGTTATACAGAGGAGCAAATGTGTGCTTTGTTTAAAAGAAATCCTGCATTACTGTTACAAGGTTCTGGGAAGAACGTGTATGTATTGTTTGGCCGGTTACTCAAATTGGGTCTCGGGATGGATAAGGTTTATTCGTTGTTTATGCGAAACCCTCAGGTCTTGTCTGGTAAGTGCATGAAAAATCTTTTGCTGGCAATGGATTTTCTGTTTGAGATTGGAATGGGGACAGAAGAAATAGTAGACATTGTAGCCGATGACATTGAATTTCTGAGTTCGTCTAGTTTAAAAAGACCTAAGACTTTATGTAAAGAGCTGAAGGTCAAAAGAGTCGGCCTGCTCCAACTTATGAAGGAAGATCCACACAAGGTGTTGAGATTGGCTTCAAAGTCAAAAGGTAAAACCATCAAGCAAGTAATATCCCCAGTTCCTAGTAATCATCTCGAGAAAACATCGTTTTTGTTGCGATGGGGATACACCGAAAACTCAGAGGAGATGATGAAAGCTCTGAAAAAATTCAGAGGCAGAGGGGACCAACTGCAGGAAAGATTTGATTGCCTAGTTCAAGCTGGCTTGGACTGCAATGTCGTATCAAAGATCATTAAACAAGCTCCTAATGTTCTTAACCAGAGCAAAGATGTGCTTGAAAAGAAGATCAGTTGCTTGACAGACAGTTTAAATTATCCGCTCGATTCTCTGGTGGCTTTCCCGGCATATTTATGTTACGATATGGAGAGGATTAATCTTCGATTTTCGATGTATTTGTGGCTCAAGGAGAAAGGTGCAGCAAAGCCTATGCTATCCTTGAGCACTCTCCTTGCATGTTCAGATGCTCGATTTGTAAAATATTTCGTAGATGTCCATCCTGAAGGTCCGGCCATGTGGGAAAGTTTAAAATCGCAAAAGGGCTAAGAATTTCATCCTTCTAATCTTGTACGTTTAGATTTTCGCAATGAATCCCGTCTTGTATACTAAATACTTCGACGTAAATTCGTTCATGTGCTTCCCTTTGGTTCGTATGGTGCTCAATCTGCGGTTCATCTTGCGGTGGTAACTTTGGTTTCGCACCCGAGAGATATGTTAAGAATTACACTGTTTCATTGATCAAAGAATTCATCTGTTTTACAAGTTTGGCAGCTAAAATCCTGCATATGGAGACTTTCACATGCTTCCAACTCGGACCATTTTGCAAAATTTGATCGTAACTAGGAGGCATGGACGGAGCCAATCAAGGTTCAGTGGGTGAAGATGCTCCCACTCAAGTAATTCGTTTGTTAAATTGCAGACTTCAGTTATATAATATACACGCGTTATCTTTGTAGTAAATATATGTATCTAAAGATCAACATACCTGCATACTACTTCACTCCATAATACGAGCAAAAGTGCTCTTGTTCTGTCATTCAAACGAAAAAACCCTCTCCCGCCTATCATGTAGGAATATTTTTCTCATCATTTTGCCACTTTCCACTACTAGACTGAAATTTTTGTACCATTGGAATTGTGATACACCATCATTTGAAATCATCCCTATTATCATATTGGGTATTAAGACATCCTATAATAAGGTCTTCTTAGTTATTTTTTGGGATGCACCTACTAAAAGAAATTTCTAGCTTCGTCCTTGCTGGGAGGCCTATGATTCGATACAATTTACATGCCTTCACAATTTTCTAACCTTCGGACTTGCACCAACTTGTTCCGGAGGCGATGAGGATGACGGAGACAACCCGTAGATGTTCTTATCAGCTTTGTCCTTGTCAAATGCCTTTTGTACTTCCTCCTTAAGCTCCAAGAAACGCTGCCTCTTTATTTTCTGCTCGTCGGTGGTGCCCGTCTCAAGGAAGCGCAAATCAGGAAGGTCGCCCTGAATCAACTTATCGAGGACTTCCGAGCAATGTGGAAAATAGTATCGACCCATGCTGACTGCCACAATAGAACACTAATGCTTAGAAGAGAATAAAACCGATGACACTACAAGTACTTTTAACTAGCAGATTCTAAATACTAAATATTTGCTGTTGTGGTTCAACTTATGATGTCTTGTGCCTCATGTTCCACATCAGCTAAGTTAATGATTTTCGTAACCACCTTGACCCTTGACGGACACGAGACAACTGAAGCATAGGGGCAAAGTCATACAGTTGCAAGTTCTCGTGGCACCAGGGGGGGGTTGGGGTGGGGTTGGAGAGTTTCGTCGAAGCATGCAAATAAATAAGCCGAAGAAAAGGATCAACCAGAACTCTGCAATTCAACCACAATAATTTATCCGAGAGACAAAAGCATGATACCTGTTTTCACAAGCGATTCCAACCTAGAAAGGAGTCTTTTGTTCTGCACAGTGGGAGTCTCATTCAAATCAACCTCCATCAAATTCCCACTTGATCCTTTCACTGAAGAGATCCCGGCAAACTCAGACGTTGTGTCTGCATGAGCAATCGCCATGGCTAGCTTGGCTTCAGCAGGGAATAACAATCGGGCAAATGTCACTGCAATAAATAATACACTTCAGATTCAGGCCTTATCTAATAAGTGAAGGATATCACGTCAGATACTCAACACACATTAAACAATCAAAAGATGAAACATGAAACGCAAAAGGTTGAGATTCAAGTGTTTCTGGAGAAAAATGATACCGACTACGATCTGCCACCACAATGCCTTGACTAATCAAAGTGAAAGTGTCTTAGAAATGTTACCTCGATTCTCCAGTTTCAGTAATCTCATGTGCAGATCATTGGGCGTCATTTGGGAAGATATAGATGCCTCTCCAGCCATTGGATTCCTCAGCATTTCTCTCTCCAGAACATCAATGCAAATTCGGTCTTTGTTTGCTTCTTGCCCCCGCTCTGTTTTTGTATGATAATCCTTTGGCCTTGTCAACCTCCGGCAAATACTAACAGCGCTCTCACCTTCTAAGGTCGGCTCTGATGCACGAGCTCCATTAGACAGAAGCAATATTATAATTGATGGCTCCTTGCGCATCACAGCAATGTGAAGCACTGTAAAACCCCGGGAATCCCGGAGGTTAACATCAGCCAGACCCAGACCAAGCACTTCAGTCACAACTTTAGGATCGCAGTAGGCTGCAGCATAATGGAGCGCATTGGCTTCATCTAAGGTTACATCAGACTCGGTTAAAAGAAGTTTCATAAGTTCAACATCATCGGAGTCCAGTGCCTTGTGTATTCTCCTGATTCTCTTTTCACGCAAGGGGTCCACAATCGGCATGTTTGGGTCGCAGTAGTGCTGAGAATTCCGGCGAAGAATTTTAATCTTCGCCACAACCTCGTCAGGAAGTCGTTTCTCAAGAGAGATACTATCAAGATCCGAGTGTGCCACTCTCTCTATACACTGATCAATGAGCTGACTTAACTGACAATTAAACGCCACCACGAGGATTGGGATAACATCATCCGCCACGGCTTTAACAACAAAATCAGCAAGTTGTCGCTGCCAATACACACACAACCAAATCAGAACAACCTTCCATTTTTCTTTCCAAATTAGTTAGTAATCTGTCTTTGCATTCGAGATATTGGAAGATCCAAGCTTGAATAACGAAGTTGCAGAAACACTTGAACAAATGTGCAATGAGAACTCGAAAGTTGACTAATTTCTCAATGTGATTAAAATGTTTGATCAGAAATTCAGAAAGCAAACAACACCAACCAACCTGCAGTACTGAGGCAAGTTCCGGCATTCCGAAAACCGAAGAGGCACACATCAACTCCAAAGCAAAATCTATGGCGGGTCGACAAGCTTCATGGCCGCACACAATGTGAACGCAGCTCGAAACCTCGACCGGAAAAGCCTTCAGCTTTGCAGTATACACAAACCCCAAGAAAACCACAAACGCTTCATAACCCACATGACCAAATGGCAGCAAATCACTCAAAAAGTACCTAGGTTTTCCTTCTTTTTCGGAACCCCCATTCTCCCGGCTGAATACCTTCGCGAAAAACTCGCTCCTCGAAGCCAAAATGCATCGGTGGACGGCAACCGGAACGCCCTCGACGGTGATTTCGGCGTCGCTGTAGTCGCCGCCGGAGTCGGCCAACAGCCGGCCCAAACTGGAGCTGAGGTTGGTCAGGGAGGTGAGGTCCGGGGTGGGCGGCGGGGTGTTGGCGGCGGGGGAGGAGGAGTTGGGGGTTACTGAGCCGTTGGATATGTGGGAGGATGAGGTGAAGCTCAAGGAAGATGATGGATCAGCCATTAATTAACATGGGTTAGATTTTAAACACGGAGATTAATGAGATGGATCATCAAAGCTTGATGATTGATGGGGTCACAAAAATGCAGGAGGCGGTTGAAGATGTTACTACGCAAATTGTCAACGGAGTTTGAGTGACGATTACGCTTTAACGTTGCTAACGTGGTTTCAAGTTTTCAACGTTTATTAGCTCCCGGGTTAGGAAACATGTTAGAATTAGAATAGGATTTAAACATGAATTATGGGTTAAAAGTCAGATTTGACTACTACCATAATTGATCACTTGTTCGATTTAGGGTGATGCTGCGATTGCTATCTAGACATCCATTTTTGTCTCACACATTCCTCTTAATTTTCACCCGCCAAATTGAATGAATTGAAGAATATCAATGGAAAAAAAAATTAACAAAGGTGTGAGAGGTAAAAATTTATCATTGAATAGCACAACTCTTTATTTATTAGGAGGGACGGATTATGGAATTTGGAATTTTTAATTTTTTTATTTTAAAGGAGACTAGTTGGTGGCTTCGCCACGGTAGTCTATCTTTCCGAAGGTCGGGAAGACTCGTTGAGGCATTTCAACCTTTCTCTGGCCATCATCGTGTGATTTATCAGCGACATGAATCAAACTCAGAACGTGCCGTGTGAAATACGGACCTAAAATTCATTCTTAACCACTGGGCCACCTCGTGGTGGTTGAATTTGGAACTTTAATGTTAAGTATATTGGTGGTGTTATACACACTAAATTTGTGCATTTGACGCGGCACATTTTACACTATATAAATTTCTATTACAACTATTTAATCAAGTTCCAACTTGAATTAAAGTATAAATTTAATCAGTGACACATCATTTGATAAACAAATTTAGTGTATCTAATATTATTCTAAGTATATTGAGAATAGAAATAAGATGATAAATATTTTTAGGCCTAAATCTTAATTATTGAATTTTTAATTAAAATTTAAAGGCCAAAGTCTAGATAAACAAGATAATCTAGAGTCTAATTAGAAAAAGAAAAAAAAAGTATCAAATTTAACTTTGTTACAAGTAATATTTATTATGTATTGAAATTGAATACGTCCTAGTTCGTTAAGAGCGTTTTCCCTTAAACCTGAAGTTTTTGAGTTCGAAAACCTCTTGAGACGGATTTAAAAGAAAGATTAAAGGTAATTTTCATTCAAAACCATCCTCTACAGAACTACAAAACTAGGAGGATACTTGCTAGTTTGTGCAGTTAACAGAACAATTCACATCTGCCAAGATTTTACCCATCCGAATATAGCCAACATCTTCCTACGCTCTCGTCAGTAAACCTCCGAAGGCTTATTAGATGCAAATTTACACGCCTTCACGGTTCCCTAACCTTCTGATTTGCACCAATTTTTTCCGGAGATGTCGTGGAGGACGATGAAGACAATCCGGAGAGGTTACACTCGGCCTTGTCCTTGTCAAATGCTTTTTGTACTTCCTCCTTGAGCTCCATGAAACGCCTCCTCTTTACCTTCTGCTCGTCGGAGGAGCCAGGCTCGAGGTAAAACAAATGAGGGAGGTCGTCATCGATGAACTTATCCAGGACTTCTGAGCAATGAGGGAAGTAGCATCTACCCAAACGGACTGCCACAATTCGATGAAGCTTAGAACAAATGACTAAATATTATGTAGGTCGACTGCTGTAACAGAGAAAAGCATGCATTTGTGATTTACCTGTTTTCATAAGGGCTTCCAACCTGGAATGAAGTCTTTTGTTCTGCACGGTGGGGGTCTCGTTTAAATCTACCTCCATCAGATTCCCACTTGATCCTTTCGATGATGATGGCGCAGCAAACTCAGATGTCTCCGCATGGGCAATGACCATGGCTAGCTTGGCTTCCGCAGGGAAAAACAATCGGGCCAATGCCACTGCGATTACAAGCGAAAGATGTCATGCCAGAGAGTCAGGCACACAAAACCAATCAAAAGCCGAAGTATGAAAGGCAAAAGGTAGAAATTTGGGGGTTAACATAAGACGACTACATATCCACAACCAACATTTATCAAGAGAACTTCGCAAAATAAAATTGGATATGGTGTAAATAAAAATGAGAATGTCTTAGGAATGTCACCTCTGTTCTCCAGGTTCAGCAACTCCATGTGCAGATCATCAGGCATTATTTGGGAAGATATAGATGCATCTCCAGCCATTGGATTCCGCCGCATTTCCCTCTCTAGAACATCAATGCATATTCGGTCTTTGTTTGCTTCTTGCCCCTGCTCTGTTTTTGAATGGTAATCCTTTGGTCTCGTCAACCTCCTGCAAATACTAACAGCACTCTGACCATCTGATGTCAGCTCCGATGCACGAGCTCCTTTAGTCAGTAGCAATACAATAATTGATGGCTCTTTGCGCATCACAGCAATGTGAAGCACTGTATAACCCCTAGAATTCCGGAGGTTAACATCAGCGAGGCCCAGAGCAAGCACTTCGGTCACAACCTTAGGATCGCAGTAAGCTGCAGCATAATGGAGAGCATTTGCTTCATCTAAGGTTATATTAGACTCCGTTAAAAGAAGTTTCACAAGCTCGACATCATCCGAGTCCAAAGCCTTATGTATTCTTCGGATTCTCTTTTCATGCAAGGGATCGGCAGGTGGCAAGTTTGGGTCAGAATCCTGCTGATAATTGCGGCGAAGACTTTTGATTTTCTTCACAACCTCATCAGGAAGTCCCTTCTCAAGAGAGATGTCATCAATATCTGATCGTGCCACTCTATCTACACACTGATCGATGAGCTGATTCAACTGACAATGGAAGGCAACCAAGAGAATTGGGACAACATTGTCTGACAGAGCTTTCCCAACAAAATTAAGAAGGCGCCGCTGCCAACCCATAGACAATCAAATCAGAACTCTTTTTTCATTTATATTACCAAAAGAATGAGTAAATGATAAGTTGCATAGACAATCCTATCCTATCATAACATTCATAGATAAGTTAAATATGGTGATTTACGAATTCATGAACTCATAGACTTGACTAACTGATAAAAATCTGCTCGGAAATTCAGAATAACAGAAGACCAACCTCGAATATCGAAACCAGATCGGGCATTTGGAAAATGGAAGCGGCGTACATCAATTCCACAACGAAATTGATAGCAGGTCTACATGCGTCATGGGCACATACATTGTGAACGCAGGTTGACACCTCCACGGGAGAAGGCTTAAGCTTTCCAGTATACACATAGCTTAAGAAAACCAAGAAGGCTTCATATCCAACATCGCCATAAGGCAGAAAATCACTCATACAGTACTTTGGCCTGTCTTCCTTTCCAGAAGACCCCTTTTCTCGCTTGAATAGCTCGCGAAAAAATCCACTCCTAGAAGCCAATATACATCGGTGTACACCAACAGGAATCCCCTCAACTACGATATCAGCATCACTATAGTCACAGCCAGGATCAATCAACAACTGCTCCAAACTAGAGCTAAGCTTGGACAAACTGATGACTTCAAGACTTGGCACCGATTCGGAGCCAGAACACGATAAGTTGTGGCTTATTGAACCATTTGATAAATGGGGTGATGAAGTAAAGCTCAGAGAGGATGATGGTTCGGCTGAATGAGCCATTAATCGACTTTAGACCTGTAGAGCCTAGGATGTATGGATGTCAAGCCTAATCACATACTGCTTGAAGATAGCAAAATCTAGAACTAGTTCCTTTGAAGAACAAGAGCCCGAAAGCTGTCTAATTCTTCCAACACAAGCTATAGGCTATAGCTCTCAAAATATTATGATCCATCTGATTGGTTTGGTAAAAACCTATAAGCAAAAGTGCTTTTAAGGAACGAAAAGCAAGGTAAACAGACTATTTAACAAAAGGGGAACCTATCACAAACTGTGATTTTGCTCTTCAATTTTGAAAGGTGGGTTTCATTGAAAAGACTTGAAACACAAAACCATTGGATTAAAACTGCTAATTTCAAGCTTCCAAATTAAAACTGCTAAGTTGAAGCTTCCAAATTGGAAATAGAAACAAAATCTAAAATACAAAGCTAGAATATTGATGCTCAAGATCTAACTACAACAATATAAACCAAATATTGGAACCAATATATTATATGATGTAATTTTGTAATACTGCACAAAACAGAAACTTTTGCAGATTTAATCAAAAGAGTTGTATAAAAACTAATAAAAAAAATTTACACATGTACTGTTATTGGCTTCTGCTACAAGTTGTAGTTTTCCTATCAAATCCCACCTGAATTTCAAAACCCATAACATCAAAAGAACTCATCTCAGGAAAATTGCAGCAAACCCAAAATTCCCCAAAACAAGAAGAAGCAAACTTTCAACCATATCAACCAGAACAAAACTCACAGATATCAAATCCCAAGATTGGCAGGGAGGACAGAGAGGTGGGGGGCCAAAAGGGTAGGATTCAATTCAGAGAAACAGAGTCAGAAAGTAGAGAGAGAGAGAGAGAACAGAGAGAAAACAAGCTTTTTTATGTGTTTTTTTAAAGCGAGAGAGAGAAGGAGGTGAGAAATTTCGTTAGAGGGAGATGAAGTCGCTTTGGTGACGATTGAGATAGCATCAGCGATCCCAGCTGGGGTGAGGTGACGCAGCCTCGGTGTAAATTAATGGAAGTGTTTTGTTTTTGTTTGGAAATTGCGAACACTGCAAGTGTGGGAAAATGGAGAGCCATTGTAGGCGCAGTAGTTTATTATTTTGGTTAATCTTTCGCTTTCGTCTGTGAATAGAGAGAGAGAGAGGGGGCAAAAGGTTAGAGACGGAGTTGGTGTCGGCCATGGTTGCCATACCGTGTGATTCATAAGCAAAATATGTCATCTTTTTGTTTATTTTAAAGGACCACATCCTCTCCTGAGCTAAGGATGAGAGTCCTCCTCATCAATGAGCGTGGGCCGTTGGATAATGAGTGTGGCCGTTGGATTTCATCCAACGGCTACAAACATGGGGCCCCTTTAAAGTTATAATAATTGTAACCGTTAGATTTTCATCCAACGGCCCACATCACTTGATGAGGAGGATCCTCATCCTTAGCTCAGGAGAGGATCCTGGTCCTATTTTAAAAAGCTAGAATGATAAGGTTATCTCCAACCGAAGACTTGTCAAAATGCTCATTTTAGCCATCTGGTCCTCCAATAAATTAATATTTTAATGAACAGTGCAAAACCATATTTCTTACCATCTCCAATTGAGGGCCAAATGGCTCATTTTAGTCTTGTCACAAAAAACCGTCTTCAACCTAAGGCCAAAGGGTCATAGTGCCAAACATAATTTATTATTTAAAAAGTACAACTTAAATTTAAATCCAACAGCTAAGTGATGTCAGCTAGCTGTTGGATTTGAATTTTGTTTGGCTAAAAATGAGGTGGATATTGGATTATAATTCGCACACCTTTGAATTCAATCTCTTTCAATTCAAATCTGCAATGAAATCCAACTTTGGATCATTTTCGGATTCCAACTGGGGATCCTTTAATTGGAAGAAAAATGGGAGCAGATGAGACGAGAAGATGAGGAGTCTGATGAAGAAGATGAAGCATGGCGCAACATACAAAATAGAGTAGTAGACATGGTTGCGGTCATGATGTGTCTGCCAACTCAGGAACAACCTCAATGGGGTGGCTCTGTTGCTTGTCGCTCTTACAAACCACGAAACAGAGTGATGACGCATGTCAATCTGATGAACAACTACTTTAACCCTAACTCGATGTACACAGAAGAGGATTTCAAACGTCGTTTCCGAATTAGGCATCATGTCTTCGAGTGTTCACTTCGTGATGTCCAGCAGGTCAATCCATACTTTCGACAGAAGCGGGACAAAGTAGGCCACCCTGGTTTCTCACCTCATCAGAATGTTACTGTTGCACTCCGAATGATGGCCTATGGCTCCCTAGTTGATTCGATGGATGAAACCCATGGTATGTCTGAGTCTACATGCCTTGATACTCTTGTTAAATTTTGTGACATAATTGTTTAGCTTTACAAAGACGAGTACCTCTGCGAGCTAAATAAAAAAAGATCTGGATCAGCTCATTTGCAAAGTTAAAGACCATGGGTTTCCGGGCATGATAGGGTCATTAGACTACATGCATTGGGATTGGAAGAATTTTCCATCGGATGGCAATAAGGCTTATGCGGAAGGTCAAGAAAGCCAACTGTTGTGTTAGAGGCAGTTACCTCGTATGACATATGGATCTGACATGCTTTCTTTGGAGTCCCTGGATCCCAAAATGACATTATAGTTCTTGGGCGTTCACCCTTCTTCAATACCCTGGCGAAAGGTAAAGCACCTCAACTTGACTACTACATCATCGACCGCCAGTACAACATGTGGTATTACTTGGCAGATAGCATTTACCCAAAATGGGCGACACTTGTCCAAGCAATTCCAAACCCTATGAATGATGCCAAAAAGTTGTTTACCTTACACCAAGAGGCATACCGAAAAGATGTTGAGAGAGTTTCGATATGCTACAAGCACGATGGAAGATCATCAGCGAACCGGCAAGAGGGTGGAGTCAAGAAAATTTGGACCCCATCATGATTTCTTGCATTATTACACAATATGATTGTGGAGGATTATTGACCAAAAAAGAAAAAATTGATTGTGGAGGATGAGTGAGATGGGTATATTAATGGAGAGTCCAGTGATGAACAAGATGATCCAAATAGGTCAAAAATAGCTCATGCAAAAATATATGATAGGCCTAATTTGTCTTTCAATCCAAGAACTGGTAGTATCTTAATGAGTACATGAGGCGCTATAGAATGATACGTTCATGTGCCACAAACAAGTACTTACAACAGGATTTTGTTGCACATCTTTGGGCCAAAAAATAGCATGAAGTAAGCGTTTAAGTTTTATGTTGTTAAATGTTTTTAAAAATGTTGTTTAAGTTTCATGTTGTTAAATGTTTTTATTTTATTTTTTATGTTGTATAATTTTTATGTTGTTTAATGTTATTTAATGTTATTTAATGTTGTTTAATGTTGTTTAATATTGTTTAATGTTGTTTCATGTTACTTAATGTTATGAAATGTTTAATGGTTTAGGAAGGTATAGGGAAAAAAGAAAAGAGTTATTACAAATTTTTAAACAAATTTTGTAAAAAAAATAAAAAATAAAAAATAATGGCTAGCTAACCGTTGCATTTGAATTCTAGCCCGGCTTGAGGCGCTGGCTCATTTGAGCCTCCCAGTTGGCCTTTTGGCCCTTTTTTGTCCAATGGGGCCCACAAACTTTTTGGCCTGGCCCTCTAAACCATTCAGTTGGAGATGGTTTAAGCATCGACATTTTTTGACTGGTTCCTTGAGAAGTTTGGCTGATATACTATTTGCTCTTTTGACAATTTAACACACAAAAGCTGCTTGCAGTGTCAATTACAGTTGAAAATTCATCAAAACGAATCATGTAGCATGCAGCACACATGCCTTTTTTTAAGGACGTTGCTTGAGAGATTTTTTAATGTATTAGAATACGGAACAATACGACATATGTTATTATGTAATGAGTTAAACATTTAAAAATGAACTATATAAACACACTAAAAAATTTGTCCATCTTGTCGATGGCATTTCGTCTTTAAAAGCTCGGTTGTGAGCGCAATAAATAAGGTCAATGTAATTTTACCAAAAAAATAAATAAAGTCAATGTAATTATGTCGTGCCTAACATATTAATCAATGTAATTCTTTCCCCAAGTCATATAAATGACTTTTATAGCAAATGATCCTTGAAATTAACTTAAGTTATTAAAATAGTTTCTTATTTTCAAAATCAAGCAATATCGTCTTTGAAATTAAGTACTGCACATCAATGTAATCCTTGATTATCAAAATATGTTAAATTTTCTATTAGTTTGATGATGTGGCATACAAAAAGTCCACGCAACCAATCATTTGATGCCATGTAGACGAAAAAAATCACATTTTTGAAATTTAAAATACAACAAAAAAAGAAAATCAAGGAGGCATTCCGGCAGACAAGCAGCTCGAAGATGGCTGATAGATTTGGCTAGCAAGTACAATCAGGAGAAAGAAATTAAATGTAATGCTTATTTGCATTTTAAAGGCAGTGAATTGCAGGAAGAAGTAGGTCAAGCATATGAACCGATATTTGATGCAAGAGTTGGTTGTGTCGTTGAAGCTCTCATACAGAATAAGCAAAAACATTACCAAACCTAATCATGGCTTGTTTGGAATTGTTTTTAAAATAACTGGAAGCATTTTTAGAAAAATATTTTTGGATTTCAAAAAGCAAAGTAATTTTTATAAGAAGCAAATAATTATAGTTCTTCTTGCAGAAAGTACTTCAAGCACTTTTATAAGATTCACTCATATATTTATCAGGGATTGATTTCAAAAATATTTTCAACAAATACGGTTTCACACATTTTAAAGACACTTCCAAACGAGCATCAATATCTCGATTAAAGTGGTACTAAAGTGCTATTTTCACCCACTCATTGTTCATTTCACCTTCCATATTTTCCTTACCCTCCCACCAAAGTTAAGGGAAAAAAAAAAGTGATTTTCTCTCTTTTTAGATTCTCACATAATTTTTTTTAAAATTTCTAGTCATCAGATTTAATAAATCAAGCCTAACCAACAAACTGAATTTAAGTGTGTGAGAACTTAAAAATAATTTGTGTTTATCATTTTTCAAAAAACAAAAAAAAAAAGCACTTTACTCATTCCTAAACTACTCCTAACTAAAACCTTACAAATTTTATTTTAAAGATTTGAATGGACTTCTAAATCTTTTCTAAACGAAATAGATACTAGCACATGCATGAATTGGTCATTGTTCGCCTTCATTTTTTATATAAAAAAAAATACTTCAATTATAAAAATGCGTAATTAATATATCATTTTCTTCGTTACCTCTCCTTTATAGAAAAAGAGAGGATGATATGATCATTTGGTCAAACAAGATGTAGGGAGTGGACATAGCTATATACATGTTTTTCTATGCTTGCCACTTGATTGACTACATTATTTAACATAATCTACATGTCCCATCGTCGATACACACATACACACACACATACATACATATATAAAAAATGTTCTTTCCCATACGACGAATTTGAAAAGAAAATATTACCTACTACTAAAAAGAAACAAAAGAACCCATCATCCCATATTATCTAATGTTATGTTTGAGTGTGGCTTGTGAGTACACGACAGATATTTGCATGCTCTATTGCTGCGAAATTGCTACGTACGTCATATATTTTGTTTACTAAGTTAACATGTATTAGTTATTTGTTAAGCAATGAAAATTATTTTATGTTTGATTAGTGTAGACTTTTTTTTTTTGTTTTTTTTTTTTGAGGGAAGATTAGTGTAGACTTGATCTATGGTTCAAGGGATCCATATGATC